TTTTGTTTGATGTGATCCAGAAAATAGTAAATATGAAAGATCTTTTCATCCATGCCAATTTCTTTTAGAGGCAAAGCAGCTCTGTTCTTCCATTGGACAGATGCTGTTGATCAGTTCTGCCACTGTTTGACTGATATTCCCTCAGAAACAAGTATTTTTCCCCAACCAATTCTAGGCTAACTCATAGTACATTTTTATTTCTTTTTAAAGTCAGAGGAATTTTATAGGCATATGCAACTAGGCCCTGATCAAGGAATCCTTCAGGAAGCCCCCAGCCCAGGGTCAGAGGCTTGGATCTGGGAAAAAGCAAGGTGGTAAAGGGGAGAGGCTTCTCTGAGGCCAAGGTTGAGTTAAGTTACAACATGGTACCACAAGGTCTCAGACTGTCTTAGCTTCCACCATTGTAAGGATAAACAGTTGTGAAAATGCCTACGTGAATGTGCGGATCTGTTTGATAAATGAATGGATCTACATGTGGGAGATTGTGGTAGTACCATGATCGTCTTTGGCAGAGACCTGTCATCAGGGGCATTACCTGAGTGCTCATGGATGTAGGACAAAGAAGACATTAGGCCTGGGAGCATTTAAAAAGCTACAGGAATGTACACAACAGACTACTGTGTGCCCACTAAAATGTTTACAAATTCCTTTTTTATTAACAGGAAATTCTTAAGTTTTAAGTAAAGGTAAACTAAATTTGTGTAGAGTTGAATGACAAGCTCTGTGGGGAAAATATGGATTTTAAAAAATTAGACTAGAAGGAAATGCACCAAAAGTTAACAGCAGTTGTCTTTGAATCCAGTTATGTAACAGTCTACATACAAAATGGTAAGGAGCTATTCCTACTTTACAGATGAGAAAAGATTCCCAGACACTTCCTAGCTAAGATTCACACAGCTTAAAAAAGGAATAAATAGGGCTAGGAATTTAGCTCAGTGGTTCCGGGGCCTCCCTTGCAAGTGCAAGGGCCTGAGTTCAATCCCTGGTAACCTCCCCCCGCCAAAAAAAATAAATAATTGATTTTTAAAATAAAAATAAAATCAGAAGATTAACAGGTGATCATAAATTAAAAACATTTCTCTCTTCAGGGAATAGCTTATCTTGTTAAAGTGTCAGAAGGAGACTTAAGGAAAGCCATCACATTTCTTCAGAGTGCTACTCGACTAACAGGTGGAAAGGAAGTCATGGAAAAAGTGATCACAGACATTGCTGGGGTAAGAACACTAGTTATTTTGAAATTCTAGCTGACATTTTGTGGCTTTTAGGAAATTGTGTAAAAGACTACACAAGAGAATTTGGTAAATAACCAGTTATCAGTGCTTCAGCAAAAAGGTTAACACTGGCTTTCAGTGCATTTATAAGACCAAGAGATACAGTGGACCCTTGACTTATGAACTCAGTTCATTTGAGGGCTGGTTGTAACTCAAGGTTGAGGCTCTACACAGCCTTTGAAGTCCTCTCCCCTGTATTACTGAAGATCTGTGTCCTCAGACAGTGGCCCAGGGTTTCTCCACTGCCCCCACATGCAGAGGAAAAGGATACTGTAATGTTCCTTCCAGAAATCTTACCCGAGACCATGTAGAAGCATAAGCAACATTTGTGCCATAACTCATTTGCCTGTTAACTTTAAACTAAAATTCCATTTGTAACCCTAGTTCTGTGTCAGGCCGGTCATAACTTGAGGGTCCACTGTAGCACGTAGTTAATTTTCAGCAGTTATACTGTTCATCTATGTGAAATTTTGCCAAAAGGAGCGTCATTCCTTGGTATCCACAGGTCATTGAAACACTTTATTTACATAAAATGATGTGACTATCTGCATAGACTGAATCCAGAAGCTTCAGAGCTTACCAGTGTCCATTTTAGATAGACCCACCCTAAATCCTACACCTGGGCACTTAAGAGCCTTGAGTGCTGGACTATAGGTATACTTTAAATCATGTGACTATTCCTATACATACTACTGCAGTGTTCAGAAAATGACAGATCTGCACATTTACTACAGATGACTTATCTAATGCTTCTTGTTCAGGATGAGGCCATGTTTAGAGCTAACCTGTACATAAAGGTGTGATTTAGGAAATGAGTACACCTTTCTGTACACTCCCATCAAGACTCCAGTAGCATTACATTCAGAACTTCTCACCATTGGACATCTCATACAGAACAAGATGGATAGCATTCCGGGTGCTTTTCAAACTAATTAAAAAGCTACTTGAACTTCTGCTTTGGCTGACTCAAACTGTGATAGGCCCCAATTCGTTACAAGTTTTATAGAAATATAGGATATCCAAACTGCTGCTACATTCCCTTTTAGGTAATACCACCTGAGACAATTGATGGAATATTTGCTGCATGTCAGAGTGGCTGTTTCGACAAACTAGAAGCTGTAGTGAAGGTACTAGTCATACCTTAAAAGTAAATTGAGGGGCGGGGGTGGGGAGTTGGTGATCATACCTTTTCTTCTCTATTATAGAACTTAATAAATGAAGGCCATGCAGCAACTCAGCTTGTAAATCAACTTCATGATGCAACTGTAGAAAATGATAACCTGTCTGATAAACAGAAATCTATTATTACAGAGAAACTTGCTGTAAGTAGTCTGGGCAGTTACCCCTATAGTACTTAAGCTGTACCTGAAAATTTACTAACCTTAATGTATATTTTCTTCTAGGAAGTTGATAAATGCTTAGTAGATGGTGCTGATGAACACTTGCAATTGATAAGCCTTTGTGCAACTGTGATGCAGCAACTAACTCAGAATTGTTAGTCTGGAGACTGACTGAAAGCTCCCAAAAATGCCTTCTATTGTGAAAATAAAAATTACCAAACCACCTTTTAAAGTGAATATACAATTTATTTAACATTCAAACTTCATTAAGACATGTGCAATATGGCAATTTTACTGGGGGTTTAACCCTACCTAGGATATGATTGCTTGCTGGGGTTTAGCAACAGGGTCCAGTTCACGCTTAGCACTAATTAAATACTTTATTGAATAAATACAATACCAAACAAAATGCATTCAAATGCTTTCTTAAAAAAATCAGTTTTAAAGGCCTTTCTATTCAGGCTAAAGACAAACACAATAAAGGCAGATATGCTAGTTTAACATAATTGGCTGACTTTATACAGCACTTATATCTTTTAGTCCACAAGTATATTATTAAATGATAGAGAACGTCTAATACAACCATTTCTACAGAACAAGGAAATAAATTTCTAAGAAAGAAAGATTTTACAGACCCCATCTTTTATACCCACCCCAACAGTCTAACTCTAGAGGATAAAGCCAATGACTTTCCTCACAGGAGCTCACGACTAATGTCGCTTTGCTATCGAAATCTGTATTTCTGATCCGTTATGAGCATTGAGACAAGATTCAAAAATTCCCAAAGAAGCACAATGCACGTTGTGATCGCCTATTCAGCAACAGCGAGCACTGCATTCAACACTATCTCATCCCAGGAATTAAATAAGGTCAGCCACATTCATGGGCATTTCCTCCACTGTAGTATTGTAGAAAGTCTCAATGTCACGAAGAATCCTCTTGTCTTCTTCAGTAACAAAGTTTATAGCCACACCTTTCCTCCCAAATCGACCCCCTCTGCCAATTCTGTGTAAGAGAAAGAAAACAACAATCAGAATGTTACTTCTCAATTACTTTTTATGAACTACTGAACATGACGATCCACTTGTTAACCATCAGCTGCAGTTTACTTAAAGGTTATAGTTCGTGCTTCTAATTGGAGCACTAGCGGCTAAATCAGTATGTAGAGGAAAAAAATATTCCTTTGCAGTTAGTGCCAAAAGGATTCAAGGCTTGTCTGGCTGCGAAATGAGATTTATCAGGTGTCTTGAGCATTATTATAAAGCAGATGACAGTACTGTGTTTGGGGTAGTGAAATTAAAGCCCATACCAAAGTGGGCCAGCCAAGAGCGGTTGTCAGCCTGGGACAGATGTAAACACCAGGGATAAAACAAAAGCAGTTATGTAATCCATTTCGACGCACTTCTGGAACTGTAAACTGTAAATACAAATGCTGCAAGGTTAACTACTTTCTAAAAGTTAAATTTTTCCAGTGGGAAAACAAATTTGGTATGGTGACCCAAACTTATCACTGCTTTTTTGCTCAGTATCACACGTTGTACTCAATTACTCAAACGTGTTTACCTCCAAAAGAGCTCTACCTTCCTACACAAACCAGACAACACAAACCACCTAATGCTCCCTAATAGAAATACTAACATAAAATGCCTGGGCTGGAACAACTTAGAATTCAAATAATCATGACAAAAGAAAAACAAATTATAAATACCGACTCGCTCTTTATTCAAACAGTGTGCTGTTTCGCTTATGACTCCACGTCCTAAATTACGTCAACGCCGCTTCTGAGCACCATCTCGTCATCAACTGCTGCTATCGACTCCTGTATTTTTTAAAAAGTCTTTTTTTACATCATATAACAAAGTACAATTCCAATTTATTTAGGGATAAAGCCACTATGACTAAACCAGGGATCACTCAAAATGCTACCAGGCAACACCAAGAAAAATCCCAACTACAGAACAATCACCAAGAAAAAGCGCAAGACACAAACAAGAGCATCGCTAAAAGCTAAAAAAACAAGCTAAGACCTAAAGCAACCTGATCTATACGTATGTACACAACCTGAACATATTACAAGTTTTCCCACTTTGTTCTGGCCAGTCTTCCCAAGTTTAATTTTAATTTCATCTTACTATAAACTACGTCTTCACCAAATCAAATTACACCCTGATTTGACATTACCTTTCCTACAAATCGCCGTAAGAAAATACATGAATTTCACCAGTTACACAAATGGTCAAGATGCTCTTCTCACCTGTGAATGTAATTTTCACGATTGGTAGGTAGATCATAGTTGATAACCAAAGACACTTGTTGCACATCAATCCCACGAGCCTGAAATACAAAAGTGTATGTTCAAAATTCTGATTAAAAAACTAGATACTTATGCGATGTAACCACAAAATAGTAATGAACTATATACTTAGTGGTATAGTTCACTGTGGAGTGTGGTCTTTTAGTCTCCCAAACAGTCTAGGTTGGTAAAGGTTATGAAAAACCTTACCCCCAAAGTTAACTTTTGGTGAAAACTAGACTGTAAAGAATCAAGAAACAAACTTACCAACAAGTCAGTAGTGATCAGAACTCTGCTCGACCCTGATCGGAATTCCCTCATGATAACATCTCTCTCCTTCTGATCCATGTCACCATGCTGTTATGTAAACAAACAAGCCTCAATTCAATCAAGAATCACCTGTCAGGTCAACACTTAGTTTTAACGTGTATGAGACTAAGCGTCCCTGGCTGCTACATAGGCATAGCAGACAGGTATAGTTAAGAAACAACTTTTTTTTTGAGCAGGGAGAACGACAGCACAGCACTCAACAGCTATGTTGCACTCTTAAGCCTGCTATTATAATAAGCATAGACTTTTACAAGAGTACTAGTAATACCTCTTACCAGAGCAGAAACTGTGAAGTCCCTGGCATGCATTTTCTCGGTGAGCCAGTCCACCTTGCGCCTTGTATTGAGAAAAATAACAGCCTGTGTAATGGTGAGAGTCTCATACAAATCACAAAGTGTATCCAACTTCCATTCCTAGGTATTTTCAAAGAAAAAGTTAACAGTCAAAAATATAGTCAAACTTTTCATTTAGAAAAACAGTTAAAACCTGACTAAAAAGACATATTGCACCAAACCCTAAGACAAAGGACACTGGACATTAAGAAAGAGGTCCACCCCAGTCTTTAGGATATAGTGCAGTTACTTTTCTTCTTGTGTGTACTCTGCTAGCATTATTACAGAAACCAAGATATAATCCTAGTTTCTGCAATTTTAGCACAGTGCTTATACAAGAAGGTAAAATCTAGCTACGTTTGTGTAATAATTATGACAAATCACCTCTCTTTCAACATTAATGTAAAACTGTTTGATTCCTTCAAGGGTCAATTCTTCTTTCTTCACCAAAATTCGAATTGGATCTCTCATGAATTTTTTGGTCACTTCCAACACATCAGTTGGCATTGTGGCAGAAAGCAACACAACCTAAAAAGATAATTACGATGTCACACAAGTACACAGTACAACTTTCAGTAATACTCAAGAAAAAATGTTTGAGGCCAAGCGTCTCTGTCTTAACATGGAATGGAGCTAGACAGAGATAGTAATGCATCAAATACTTTACGCAGGGGGAACGACAATAAAACACTTCAGTTATATTGTAACTTTACCTGCATTAAAACCAAACCCTTACCCATGAGAAGAAATGAAAACTTACCTGAATGCTTGTATTTAGTTTTTGGAAAATCTCATAGATTTGATCCTTAAACCCTCGGCTCAACATTTCATCAGCTTCATCCAAAACAAACATTTTGATCCATTTTGGAGCTGTTAATAACAAAATTATACTGTGTCATCTCCAGATTCTCCAAGATGTGAGAAGAACAGTAAGAAACGATACTTTCCAATACTTACAAAGGTATCTTCTGTTTAACATGTCAAACACTCGCCCTGGTGTACCAACAACAATATGTGGTGCTTCAGCCTGCAGTTTTTGCATTTCATTTCGAACATTTGTTCCACCGATGCAGGCATGACAAGTTGCTCCCATATAGTCTCCAAGTGCCAGAATTACCTTTTGGATCTAAAAGCCAAAAATCGTAATTATTATCCTACAGAATAAACTAAATCCTAAAGTACAATGGCAAAATAACTGGTCTGCCAATAGCTTCTAAGCATGCAGAGCACAATACTACTTCCAAGCCTAGACTGACCTAACTTCCAAAAGAATTCCGAATTTCTTAGTATGTTCTCTTGTGCACTATGTACTTGGGATCCTACTGCCCATACATCAGTACCATTTCCTACATTACTCTTCACTGTTTAGGAATGTTTTCAGTAAACACGAATTCTATAAATACAACAGGGCAAATTACTTTCCCTTCCATAAGGTACTAAGTCTTTCTTCCAATCTAGACCTTAATAAAGCCTACAGCTTTATTAGGCTTACTTCAAAGCCAATACAGCAGTGAGCTTTGAAAACACAGCATGCAACAGATGCATCACAAACTACTGAGACAGTCAAATGTTAACATGTCACTGCAGTTTTCATGTTGCACAACTGCATTCAAACTTAAAATTTGGATCTAGATCTAATCTACCCTGAACAGAAAAACTTTAGATTCTCAAACGTCAGCATACAAACCTACAAAACATACCTACACACCCAGTTCCTGTTCATCTTAGAACAAATACTCCCTGCATGCACAATTAAAGGGGGCTCTGATAGGACCAAGTTACGCTGAGCTTTAAATTCTTCACAGTTGTGAAACCTGAAACCTATGCAACACGCAGGCAGTTTTTGAACTACACTATCAATACCTGTTGAGCCAGTTCTCTGGTGGGGGCCAATACTAGTGCTTGGGTCTCCTTGAACTCAATCTCCAACTGTTGCAGGATGGAAATAGCAAATGTGGCTGTCTTGCCAGTACCTGACTGAGCTTGAGCAATCACATCATATCCTAAAAAAAGTAGGATACATATTTACCGATCCCACATCAAATTGTCACTTCTACTTCACACCACGTATTCCAGTTGGAACATGAATTATGCCCAAATATTTAAGTGATCAGCGAGAGTATTCTCTTCATTTCAGGTCAGTCCCGAAAGATGATGTGCCATCATTTCACTTTAAGGAATACAAAGAGGTGCTAGTAGACCCCCTGAGGTTAATTTCCCTTTTATGCTCCAAGCCTATGTAGAACAGTGAATTCACTTTTAAAAAGCCAAGGAGTGTTTACCTTTAATACAAGGAATAATAGCTCTTTGCTGAATAGCAGAAGGCTTCTCAAAACCGTAAGCATAGATGCCCCGAAGAAGAGACTCCTTTAAATTCATATCATCAAAGTTATCAACAATCTCATTCCAGTTGCTCTGTAAGTCGAAAAGTAATAAAATAAATACGGATGCCAGCTCCCACCTTTTCGGAGCTCCAAAATCCACACCCCTTTTCTTACCTCGATGACACCATCAGGGTCCATTCCCTCTGGGCCTCCATGTTCTCTGCTGACAAGAACACTGCAGTTAGGCAACATCCCTTTCCCCAAGCCATCTGACTCTCACCTACAAAGCGACTGCCTTTTATGACCCGCATGGTCACATCACCCCTCCCACAAGCCTACTCGACTACAGCTAACAAAGCCGGCGCTGCGGGGCACTGACAAGACACCGCGCGCCTCCCCCGGGGCTGTGGCGCCGCAAACCTGCCCCACCAC